CCCCCCTCCTCTCTCTCCGCGGTAGGGCCCCGCCCAGTGTGGTGAACCGAGGCGGGAGCTATCCATCTAGACGCGCAAAACTACCCTGGAAACAAATTGTAGTCTAATACAGAGTGGGTGTTCTACGCCGGACTTTTATCTAGGCTGTCCTGTACCGCATGCAGGTGTGCGGACGGGTTGCATACTCGCACGGGGCCATAAGACGCCGTGGTGAGAGTCGGCTTAGAACACCAACTCCTGTACTCAGACGCGCTTGCAACTAATATTGCTGTATTTTTTGGCGGTCTTTACTAGATTGGCTTCGGCTTAAAGTATCCATTTACTGCGTTTCAGCTTCACTCATCGCTCCTCCACGCCACCACCACCCACCACCGCCCCGTACTTCGTAGACCATGCTTATTAATCGACAACGGAACGTCACCGAATCAATGTCGAAATGGTGGCATCGATCTCGAGTCCATATAATTTCGATTTGAATTTCTCACTGGGTAAGCAGGTCAACTCGAACAGGGCCAGTCGTAGCCCAATTTAGAGAAGTAACATTCTATACTCATGCCCCATAACCCAACACGCTCTAATCAATTTCTCGTACACTATCGAAAACCAACCAGTAGAACAGTGCCACTTTCAACCGTGGGGCAAGATGCCCCTCTGTTACAAGTTACAAAAATGGGGCACGACTGTTCCTGTGCCTCCAAATGGGCTTTCTGGTGTGGGCTCCTTCGCTTTAGCTCCCAAGTGAACTAGCCCTCATACGAGCCCGCAAGGCCTTTTCAAACCTAAAATTTTGTTATAAATTCCAATTAAATTGCATTTTTGCCTTGACAAGATCTCAAGAATGGTTTCCATTAGTAAGATCTGTCGAGGTAAAAATGCAGTTTAATTCAAGTGTTTGTCCAAATTTTAGGGTTGAAAAAGCCTGTCGTGCTCGTGTGGGCTGGTCTTTCCCTTGCGGGCTCGTGCGGGCTGGTTCACTTGGGAGCTAAAACGAAGGAGCCCGCACGAGGAAGCCCGTTTGGAGGCACGGGACTGTTCTATGCTTGTCACAGTGGTACTGTGACTGCCATGAATTCCCACTGTTACATCCATAGAACAGCCGTCGTGGCCGATTGTTAAAACAGGAAGATCGGTCACATATCTTTCCCCACTGTTTAAAACAGTGGATACCTTGCTCTGCTGTTGGATTTGCAGAGCAAATTCACTTCCGCCCGAGCCCACCCCTTTGCAGTGGCGAACAAAACAAAAATCATTTTTACGGTTTTAAAACCAGAATTGTGAACGTCTGCCTCCTTCCTGCGCGTGGCGCCATAGCCTCAAGCATCGCCACCAGGACCAGGTCCCCTCCTCCCTCCCCTCCCCAAGACACAGGCCCTGCCCGGAACACGAATTCTCGTTAGACGTCTTGAAGCGTCCGACGCGCCGCCGCACGGTTCCATTTCCGCTGCGAGATGAGGCCGGCTTCCGGCGTCCCCGCCTTGAGATGCGATGTGAGGTGGCGGCGCCGTCAAGCGTCGCGACGCGATAGAGAGGCGGCAGAAGCGTCGCCCCGCATGCGTGGGGGGTGGGTCGTCTTGTGCTTGATTCAATCTCCTGGTGGACTGCAATAAGCGACTAGATTCACCGGCTGCCGACGCTGCCGACCGGCGGCCTCTGCCCCAGCGGCCAGCGCGCAGGGATGGGGAGCGCCTGGGAGGTAGGCCGCGCGAGCGCTCTCCTGTCTTGCGGGTCTGCCCTTGCGCACGGCGCCTGCGGGACAGCCGCCGCCACCGCGCGCTAGGCCCAACCAAGCTTAAACCAAGCCTCCTAGAGCAGGGGTCTCACACACACGGCTCGGCTGGAGAGCGATGGTGCTATGTGATTGCAGTGAGTGTAAGTGAGAGGGCCGAATCGCGCAGCCCGCGCGGCGTCTCAGTCTGAGACCTCCTAGAGTCTCTCTACAGCCTCCGACTGCCTCCCTCCCTTCGACAAATCAGTGCCAGGGGATTCCGAAACCCGCCCAAATGTGATCATCAGGATCGCCACGCACGTGAGACTCAACGTGTGAAACTCATCTCGCCTTTCGTCTCCTCTGTTGCAGGCATGTCGCCGGAGGACGAGTGGTACAAGAACAGCCTAAGCGCGCTGCGGATGAACTCGTCGCATAGCAACCTGGGAGCGCCCGCCATGCTGCAGTACCAGACATAACGCCTGCAGCAGCAGCAGCACTGGCTGGAGCAGCAGGAGGGCTGGCTGCCCGCCACCCCCGGCCACGCGCCCGCCGCGCCCAGCCCCGGGTCCCTGGGGCACGGGGGACCAGGGCCCCACGGCGGCTGGCAGCCCGACCCGGAGCTTGAGCGCGCCGACCAGGAGGCGGGCGCGAGGAGTCAAGGCCAGGACCAGTCCGACAGTGAGATGTCGTGAGCCCGGCCCGCGCCCCGCCGCCACTGCTGCTGCTGCTTGAACGTCACCCTCCTCGATGACGTCATCTTGTTGTATTCGCACCGTCGCGAAGACTGTTGGGGCTTCTGCCTCACGTTGGTCTCGCGGCCTCCGTCCAACGTCACCACCCTTCCCTCCCCACTCTGTGTGGGTCTGGGCCGCGAGGAAAGACGTCGGTGAACAACTACTTGTGGACTCGTTGTGTTACCCTTCCTTCGCCCCCTTCCCCCGATTAAGTCAAGATGATGTGAGTTACCCTGTCCCTTTTCCCGTTTTGTTTCCTGAAAAGGGGACGCCTTTGACATTGTGCCATTTATGAAGCCAGAGTTCAGCAGTGAATATTAGCAAAAGGCATATTTAATTTTTGATGCAGCTTCAGGTGTGAGTGACTCTGGATTGATGTATATATTTTGTTCAGTGTGTTTTATACAGGAATTGGGTGTAAATAATACTATATTTATCAATTTATCGTCATCTATTCAATTAAAATATTCAGCATCATTGTTGATGGATGTCAACAGACTTGGTAATTTCTTAAGGGTCATACTAAAAAGTTTAAGTTGTCTTTATATGAAAATTGTGAACTACAATTTAAAATTTTTGACAGTGTCAAATATCACCATACTCATCACACTCCTCTTGAAAGTTAACTGTCTCAGGAATGTGTGTTACTGTAAATGCCCCTCATTAAGTGACACATTCCAAAACATTGGTTTCATTACAAACATCCTGCTTTTTTGCCCTACAAGTGTAGTTTTTTTTTTTTTAGGTCTGAAAGAAATGAAGTGAGATGTATAAAATGAGGAAATTTCCAATTTAAAAGGAATTTCCATCTGGTGGATTATTAATAAATAGTAAGCTTCATGAACGTAATGTGATATTTCTTTAAACCACCACTATGTAAGGATATTTGTACATTCGGTTATGTATTTGTTTATTTTTACAAATCTGATGTTTAATACTGAATGGCATCCCCACAATCTAATTTTTATTTGCCTGAGGTGCAAATTGTCTTGCAAGCTGTGTAAAATAAATTATAGTTCAAAAACTGTCTTAAAATTTATCTAGTCCTTTCACAGACAACATTACTTCAATGACATAATAAGGAGTTCATAAAATTCTGCAGTAAAAATTCTGAAATTAATCAGAGATCCAGCAATGCATTGCATTGATTCCATTCAAATGTTAAATGAAAATAAAAACTGCCATGTTTAACAAATATCCAGAGAATAGCCTGCTTAGCACCTCTCAAAAACTTTGTACAAGTCAGGAAGTTTAGCTATTTGAAGGACAGTGGCATCTTCAGCAAAAATTCTTGGGGGTAAAAAATTCTTTCTTAGAGCTGCATAGATGACGTGTTCAATAACCCATCTCCAGTCATGAACTTCCTGGGAAGAAAGAAAATAGACAAAGCCATAACTAAACTATTTTCTGTGTAATTATTTGAGAAATTCAAAAACAAATATTTTACCTCAGATTCTGTTTCATCAAGGGAATCTGGTGTTAGAGATGAACAGGAGACTGCTTCTGAAGCAATACGACTATAAAAATGGGCTGTCTCTTTACAGACTCCCTGAAAACATTCTTTTTCTTTGTCCCAATCAACCTCTGTAGCCAGTCTAAGAACAAACATTGGAAGACCCTCCATAGGTGGACTGAAATTGTCTGTATGTGACAAAAATTTCATATATCAATTGAATTTTATACTTATTAAAAAAGTAAAAGAGTATATTTTACACAATCACCTAACAAGAGTGGGATCGAAACCAGATTTCCATCAGAATCAAGTTCCATAGAAAAATAATCTTCCAGCATTTCAGCCCGGCTTAAGAGAAGATCTTTTACTGATTGCGCTAATTCCTCCTTTGAACCATCGGCTTCTGTCCAACCAGATTCCTCCAGTTTTAGTGCTTCCATAGCTAGTTCATAAAGTGACAAGGGACTCTGGAAACCATTTAGTTTACTTCTATTTTTGTTACCTTAGACAAGTATTATTAAATATTTGAGAGCAAATAACCCACCGAGAACCGTATGATGCCAAAATTACCAAAGTCATAGAGCAAAATTTGATAAAAAAGTTCTGCACTAAAATAAGAAACATTTTTAAAATTAAGATGTATTATGCATCTTTACCATGTCCTCATAGCACAATGTTTAATAAAATAATGCACTTACCATATTGCAGCAGTATCGCAAATGTATAAAACAGTTTCATGTTGAATCAAGGCCAGTGAGGGATTGACACACCCAACAAAAGTAAACTTACTTGTCACATCTAACAGTCCTTTGTGACCGGATTTCTCAACTTCTTCTCTCAGCTTAAGAACACTAGTCAATTGTATATCTCTCCTGCAAAGAAGCTGATAATACAGAGTCCAACAGACATTCCAACGACAGTAAAGAAAAAAATTACACAGTGGAACTCACCTATTACTTTCAGATGTCAATACAGGAGGTGGAGAAGTTTCACAATTCTGTACACTCTCAACACTTAGTTTCACAGATGATTCCTTTGTTTCTTTACTACTGCTTTCAGGTTTAAAAAACTTGTCTAGCTTCTGGGCAGAGCTGTCAGTTCTGACAAGGTGTTGAGGAAGAACAGTTGTTGAACTAGAAGATGATAACACTTCTGAAGGAGCAGGCATAGAACCTGAGTCTGGCAGCCGGGCCTAAGAAAAATCCCAATTCAATTATTAATCAGGAAGCAGAAAATTTAGTACAGGTAAGCAACATCCAATGTACTTAAAATAAATATTTAAGCACTTACTTGAGTATAAAACACTCTTGAAGTATTACAACCAAGCAACTTTTCCTCTAAAGCAGCTCTTATACGGTCAATCACCTTGTCTTCATGTAGGAAATGAACCTCATGCTTGGTGGGATGTACATTAACATCTACATTACGAGGATCTAGCTCTAAGCTAAGATATACCCATGGATGGCTGTTTTTAGGAAGATAAACAGAATACACCTGTTCTATGGTCTTCTTTAATGCTAAATAACATTTTTTTTAAATGTTAAAAGACAGAAAATTTTTAGTTTATTGTAATTACGATTACTGGATGACCTCTATATTTTGCAATAGAATTACTTCAACTTACCAGTTGAATCCACAAGACGGTGATTAATAAAAAGGAGAAAAACCATTTTTTTGGTAGAGTAGTTAACATTTGTGACTTGGCCAGTAAGTTTAAATTTCAACACATCATCTTCTGATTTCACCTCTAGAAGTTCTCTAGAAGGGGGAGGTCTCTTAGAAGTATTAACAGTAGCATAAGCAATAGGAAATTGGCATAGGTATTTTGCTTACCTAGCTATAGAATTGCCATAAATTGTTCTCACATTATCCACAACTGTTGAGTTTGGTAGGGTGCGAATGTCTGATAATGTTTCCCCTTGCTTCTTGAGGGAAAACCCTACCTAAAATTTTAATTGAAACTTTTAAAACTTTTAGTCACATATAATTGTGCCCAAAATAAACCAACATGAGAGAAAGGACTGACTTTGGAATTGTGAATTGCATAACGGCTCACTACATCAGCAATTCGTGAATGCTCTTCTCCAGGACTTTTTAGCGCTTTTCTTCTGGTTGATACATTATAAAATAGATCTTCAACGGCAATTTGAGTACCCTGTGTTCCAGCACAAGGCTTTGGAGGTGCTTTCAATTTTCCATCAGTATAATTTGCTCTGTATAAAAGACAAAAAATAAAAAAAATACATTGGACAGGACTTTGTTAAAAGCAAAAGATGAAATCCTGGTTCACTTACTTGAAAGCACATTTTTCTGACGCTGTTTTAGTTGTGATGGTGAGATGGGCAACATGACTAATGCTTGACAATGCCTCACCTCGAAAACCATAAGTAGAAATACTACTTAAATCATCAAATTTAGTTAGCTTACTAGTAGTAAAACGTTCACAAACTATTTCCAAATCCTCACGTCGAATTCCTGTTCCATTGTCTTGAATCTAAAGAAATAAACAGTAACATTTATCCAATTTATGAAATCACAAATGGCATAGATTCAATCCTAGAATAATGAAAAACAAACCTGAAGAAGTTTCAAACCACCATTCTTCACTGTCACTTGAATGTTGGTTGATTTAGCATCCAAGCTGGAAGAGAAAATAACAGCAGAACATTGTGAAAGAATGATACCAGTGTACATACTTCCTTCCTAACTTTGTACTCTTTCTTTAAAAGCAAAACAACTACCTGTTTTCTATCATCTCTTTCAGTGCATTGGCTGGGCGCTGAATAACCTCCCCAGCAGCTATCCGATTTATGACAACTTCATCAAGTTTTCGTATGACCGGAACGGAATCCATGATCCTGGATTTATTCTAGTTCTCAATCAAATGCACCGTCAGAAATTCTGCTTTTGAACAAACGTTAGCATAAACAGAGGTTTGAGTTCGAGTGCCGACGAGGAGTTGTTTTCTCTGAGAGCGGGAACGCGTGATGTAATACTTCTCATATCGGTATAGAGATCTATGAAAAATTTCCATTCGATTAAATCCCCCAAATAACGGGACAAAAAAAATTGTCAACTGAGGGACGCTAGGCCAACCCTCGTCGTCTTGACTGTCAAAATCGGCTGAAACGTCGCCAATGTATGAACACGGGTTTATGAAGCGCAAAAGTGTATCGACGAGGGTAATAATTATACGGTGTCTTTGTTGCAGAATGTAAAATGTCTGGGCCTTCGTCTCCTAAATCTTTGGTTTGCGAAGAAGTTTTCGACGAGCGCAGCCAGCCTTCAATAGACGGTAAGTTTTGTGTACATCTAAGTTCATTGTTTTGAAGCATTACTTTTAAAAAGCCAATGTCAAATTTTGAAACGTCCTCCTTAGGTAATCTGATGTTTAGTTATTTGCACAGTTCCTGTCTCTTTGTTAAAGACCTAAAGTTTGACGTAAAATCCTAATTTTAAAGTTGAATAAATGTTGCGTGCTTCACAATTTCCTTTCAGCTCTATGTTAAGGCACCATTTTTAGAAAAAAAATGGTTGTTCGACCTAAGATTTTCTTATTTTCTAAATTAATTTGAAGTTATTTTCGTAAAACGTAACTGTATATTGAACAATGTGGACAGTTGCATTGTACTACCTGTTTTACTTGCAGAGGTCCGTGAGTTTGCTGTACGAATAGGTATTGATCCTGATGCAGAGGCTCACCTTTTACCGCTGGCAAGAGAGGGTCTTTTGAAGCCATTACCAAAAAATTGGAAACCTGTGTAAGTGTTTTAACAAGCACACTGTGTAATTAGAGTGCCCAGTAGCAGGGCGACTTATGCTGCCAACTGCTTACTCGACACCTACTGGATTCTGTATAATGCGCTGGGTAAAGCCATGGCTCATCCAATCTGGTCTGCTCAGAAAGTGTCCAGCTGCTGGGCTCCCAGATTTACAGTGGACTCATGAGTTTAAAGGACATAAATCCATTAAAAACTCTCCATATCAATTGTATTAATGAAATTTACTGTGGACCTGTTTTTATTTTTCAGATATGATTCAAAGAGTAAGCATTACTACTATTTTAATTTCAAGACAAATCAAACATCATGGGAACATCCCCTTGACAACAAATTTCGTGAAATTGTAAAAAAAAGCCGCTCTGAAAGCATTAGTTCTGCTGGTAAATATGGTCTTTTCTGTTTTGCTATTTGTTTTACCAAGTACATAAAATTGAAGCTTTCATCCACTCACAGGAGAAGAAGATTCTAAAACATCCATTAAAGAAGAACTGAAGAGTTTTGAGGAAGCAGGGACATCAGCTGTTTTTGAACCTGACAATTCATCTTCTATCAGAGATAGTCAGATGGATTTTTCATCTGGGGTATGTTAATTTATTTCATTTTGAATTTATTTCCATCAGACTTAAAGTCAGACCGGAATCCAAATCACTGATAATTTATAATAATCAATTAATTATTTTCCAGTTAAATAATTTAATACTTTTATTTCTAGACACCAGTTTTAAAATCAGCTCTCAGTCCTTTGCGCTCTTTTCGGAAGGAAGATCAAGAAAACTTATCACTTCGAAAAGGAAGAAGTAAACCATTCTCTGCCAAAACTGACCAGTTAAAGCCAATTTTCACCCCAAAACCACTTTTCTCTCAGAATTCTAATGAATCTCCAAAGAGTTCTGACAAAGCACTGCAAAAGTCATCTAAGGCCATCTGGGACGACCTATCTTCTTACCTAGATGATAATGACGATGGTGACAATGGAGATCAGTTGAAAGGGCATGCAGGAGACAAGTCAAGAGGAGATGGAAAATACATGTCGTCCTTTGATTATAATTTGCATACCCAGGACAAGAACTTAGAGAGTCCTGTTTCATCAATAATTGGTCGATTTACTGTTGATAGGGTAAAAAAAATTGATATAGACTCACAGACTAAAAGGCTTGATTCAGATGGTGCAGAAGGAGATCGTCGATCCTCAGATCGGTTCTTGAAAAGTGGATATGTTCAGCCAGAGTTTACACTTTCAGGTAATGTCAGTAAAATTTAGTGAAACTTTCACCTTTCTCTCCTTTTACTAAGTATTTGATTGCCTGTGTAGGTGGTGGATCCATATTTCTCAAGTCTAATAAGAAAAAAACAGAAACTTCAAATCCATCTAAACTGACTTCCAGTCAAGATGTAAAGTCAGACTCCTTCAGTGATATTAACTTAAAATCTCTTGACAGCAATTCAAAGGAGCCTTTGATCAGGTAGGTAAATATTGTCATAGACATAGTTTGTGACAATGAAATTAATATCATTCAATTTTAAATCTTGCTTTGAAAATGTGGAAAAATTAATTTTATTCCTGCAGGTCCATTAAGTCATCAATGCGATCACTGACAGCATCTCCTACCGCATCTACATCATCTACTCGCAGTATTCTAAGAACACCACTGACAGAAAAACGATTGTGGGATGTTGACCCCCAGCACATGTCAGGTATCAACCATAAGGGTCATGGATTAAAAATATGAACCTCTCTTTAGCCAGAGTAGATTTTAAAATATTTCATCAATCTTTTTCAGCTTCAGAAAAAGCTTTATGGAAGCAACAGGAGTTGGAAGAGGAAAAAAAGAGTGTGCGCTTTAATTTAGATAAGGAATTGAATATTTCTTTTAAATTGTCTGATTCTGATAGTGATACTTCATCCGAGGTGAGAGCTACGAATGCATTTCAGATACCCTATTTTCCTTATCTTACCTGACCTGATCTGATCACTTGATCACTGCTAACTGAATCTATTAACTCACTCTTCTTTTATCAGCGAGACCACGTTGATGAAGATATTGAATGGAATTCAAATGCTAGTGATGATTTGGCAATGGAACTAAAACAGCTACAGAAAGGTAATTTCAATTTCCCTCACTATTGCTCTTGTTTTATTTTTGTTTTCCTTCATTTTCCACTGTTTATGAGAATGAACTTTAATATTATCTTTGATTTTTATTTAAATAATAACAAGTGAACACCTACAAGACTGAAAAAATATCCCAAAAAGAAAGTCATATGAGTCCTTTGGAAGAATGGGCCAAGGAGACGTGGTTTTCAAGAAAGCCACCTTTTACAGACAAAACTGACGGAGATTTGAGGTCAAGTCTTACATCGGCCTTGAATAGTGCAAGCTTAAGTGGAAATGAATCACCCAGAGGAAGGCAGTCACCAATTACAGATAGCACTTTCAAGAAAGGAGCTTCACAAGAAAATATGTTTCATGAATCCGGTCAATCTATTACTAATACTTCTTGGCAACATACTGAAGACCCTCCGATTTTGCAAGAGCAGGTTGTGTTCAAAGAGGGTGAAAGGAAAGAAAGTCATCCCTTAAACTCACTTGATACCAAATTGAGTCAAAGTATAACCTCCCATGATGATTTTAACCTGAGTGGCATTGACAATTTGTTGATCAATTCTGCATTGAGAGATTCTTCTTCCCTTTTTCCTCATGAGCCAAATGAACCAACAGAAAGTGAAATCAGTCTATCTGCTTCCATCACTAATAAACTGAGAGGTCTTACAAGCAAAGAGGTGCTCTCTCCAGAAAATACCATATCAAGAGATATGAAAGCTCGTGAGCAGGCCTTTCGTGACTGGAATGTGAAATTGTCAGATGGTGAGATGTACAGACCACCACTGTCAAGGCAGCAATCACAGCAACAATTGCAGCAAATAAAACAACAAATTCAAGAACCAGTTAGGGCTGGTGAAAGAGATCGTGCATTGCGTGAATGGAATGTTACTGACAGTATTAAAGATTCACGTCCAACTCAAAGGACTTCAGAATCTGTAGGGGAAATTTCTTTGCCACCATCTGAAAATCTAGAAGAGGAGAAATCAATACAAAATTCAATTGGAAGTGAGTCAGAACAAAGTAAAAATTTAGCTTTTCCTGGTTCAAGTCAGAAATCTGTTTCTGAATGTATTGATTTGCAACCTGCAAGTAGTGATTTTGAGAACAAACTTGAACAAGCAATTGAAAAATTAAAAGTAAATTACGATAATTCTTTGAAAGAGAAAGAAAGTGAGCTAAAAGACAAATTTGAAAAGGATCACCAGGAAATAGTGAGGGTTTATCAAGAGAAGTTGAAGAAAAAAGTCGAAGAAGAATCAAAAGCAAATGAGCTTAAGTTTAAAGAACTCATGTTTCAGATAGAGCGTGAATCAGATATTCGGCTAAAACAAATGAAAGAACAGTTAGAGCATAGACAGAACTGTGCCAGTCAAAAGATATTAGAACAACATCAGCAAGCTCTAGCAGCTCAAGAAGTTGAAAATCAAGCTGCAATGCTCCGATTCAGAGAACAGCACAGCGCTGAGATGAAAACTTTACGTGAGCAGTTTCAAAGAGAGGTATCTAAATAACATGTCAATTCTTCTTAACAAAACTAAAACTGTACTTTATTTTATAACGATGTGTACAAAACATTTTTGTTTATTTTAGGAAGAGCAAGTTCGCAGAGAACAACAAGAACGTATTGTCAGTTTGCGAGAGGACCGTGATGGAAAAAGAAGTAGAGATATCACTGACCATTTAAGGTATCATTTTAATATATTTTGCCACACAACCACCCTTTATAGTTTTTATTTCTCTCATGTAACATATAATTGTTCATCTCCCAGATCTATAGAAAAATTACGCTGTGAAAAGCGCTTGGTTGAGGACAAATATAGAACGTTGAAAGAAAAGTATATTAAGCTGAAAGGTGAGATAAAAGCAAATCTTGAAAAAAATAAGGAACAAAAGGCAAAGGAATCTCAACAAATTGATGACAAACCAAAACAAAGCCAAGCTGTAACTGTTGAGACAGAAGCATCTACTTCTCAGCAACAGTCAGACCGGTAAATGTTTGATAATATTTCAATATCTATTTCTTTTACAATAGTTTGGTTGACAAAATTACTCTTTGCCGTCTTCTAGATCCTCTGAAACAGAGTCAAGACCCAAAACAATGAGTGCTGGTAGTTCAGGTACAAGTAACTCATTGGGGTTTCAGAAATTTCAGTCCCAGAGCCAACCACAGGAGCAACTGAGTCAAGTTTTGGACCCACCTTCCCCAGCCCCTAGTAGTGGGCCCTCTGGGTTGATTAAAAACAACAATAATGATGTAAATGAGCCCAATGTGCCTTTTTTAGGGAGGAGTTTTTCTAATCCACCTTTTCAAGAGAAAAATCTAAATCCAAACAGAAATGGAATAGATCCATCACAGTCACTTTGGTGCAACTTCGCCCACTTCAAAGCAACTGAAAGAAATGGAAACATGCCTTCTGAAAGTGAGTCACATCCGTATTCCATACATTTTTTTAAATGTATTTATACATTCTTTCAGTACTGAATTTACTGAGGAAATTCTCTCATGTATGTCTAGGTTATTTGCATCGAAATTCTCAAGATCTCAAAGTCAAGCCGAATGAATTTTCTCCTCTAGAAGCACTCAGGCATCAACTTAAAACTTTGGATGAGCTTGAGGAACAATTTCCCGTGTCATCTGTAACTGATGCATACCTTCGCTATCCATTTTCAGACCAAGGTTTGTTTATTATTAATCATGTTTAACCTTTAAGTATACTTAAACCACTCAACCTTTTGAATATCTGAATCATGGATGTACGTACAGGTTGCAAAGAGCTGGAGAGTGCTGAGTTGGAGTTTTTCCGTCATAGAATCCATTTAGAAAGGGACATGATCCGTCAAGCAAAAAACTCCTTGCAATCACAACAAAGTGAATACCGGTCACGTATCAACAATTTTCAAAAACGTCAATCTGCCTCCTCAACATCACCTAATACCACTCTTAATCATATGGCAAAAGAGGTATTTTCTCATTTCCCAGCTTATTCTATCCTCGTCTCTATTGAAACTGATTTTAGTATTTTTATGTGTTATGCATAGGAACAGGAATTATCAGATATGGAAGCTAAAATCAGGCGTACTCAGAATATTTTAGGAGAGAAAATGATTCACTTACGTCAACTAGAAAATTCTCTTAATCGCATCACTGCTCCATCTTTGAGAGCAGAGATAAATGGAAGGAGGGTAAATGATGTTCCTGAGCCAAGATATGCAGATCAAACAAAAATAAAACAACACCGACGTTGGGATTGGAAGAATGGGGGCAATGTGTTGGGAGTAGAAGAGGTCAGTGATGAAATGTCTTCAGATAGTGGTGGAAGTTCAGGCTTCAGCAGCATTGAGTATACATCTGATGGCACCTTAGGTATGTATGTTTTGTAAACTATAAGATGTCAATGGGTGATCTGCGGCGTCTTTTTCTTTTTCTGGTTATATTTGTTGTGCGGGCTTGCCTGCCGTGTCACTCGCCATGGCGCTTTACGGCCCCGTGCGAGTATGCAACCTATCCGCACAACTGAATCTGGTGTAGTGTAACTTTAAAAAAAAGACGGCGTAGATGGCCCACCCCATATAGAAGGTATACTTTGGAAAATAATAATTTTGAAACAAGTTACACACGTTATAATTCCGTCCCTTTAATTTTCAGGGTCACTTTTGAGTCACAAAGGCTCTGGACAGAGATTTAAAAGAACCTCTGACAATACAGCAGACATTAACATGAGTCTTCATAATCTTAATGCTGAGATAAGTGAAATTTGGAATGTTTTGTGTCGGCAACGAGCTGCTGCAGGTTTGTGCTTCCTTTTCCATCTATATTCTCGATGCAATTGACTGTTACCTCTTCTTTGTTTTTTTCTAATTTACCAAACTTCCATTTATAGGATTAGGTCCTCCACCACTTTTGAGTGCCCAACCTTCAACATGGGTGAATCCCACCTCTCAACATTTGACCACCAACTTAAGCTCTAGTCGTGCTGGAAGCCCTTCAACTGTACAATCAGTACCCAAGGTAACAGTTCAGTCTGAATTTTTATTACTGGACTCTATTTCTTGCTTTCTGATGAAATTGTAATCTAATCTAATCTAATTGGCAATCAGGTTACTTCAGACAAAAATTCGTCTTTAATTGAGCGCACAAACAATCTTCGCCAATGGCTGCACAAGGCTAAAATGAGTGCAACTCTCCCTGCACCAGCTCCTACAGTGGATAGAAATGAGGTGTCCTTTTAAAAATACAATTTTGTTTGCCCTCAGCACCTGAGTGGACTTTTGTTTTCTATTTTAATCTCTTCTAGGTTCTTGTGTTTTGTTTCTTGTGGGTGGGTTATAGACATTTTTAATGTTGTTCTGTAGATAAGGCGTCACTGAAAAGTATTTACATTGGCTGTGGTTTGCTGTTTGTTTGAAGATTTTAATTGTATGTGGTGTAGCGTAGCGTAATTACTTCACTAATTTTATGAGAATGAACTTTTACCACCATCTCATGTATTTTATGGTGAATATGTTTAACATTCAAGATAGTTACCTTAAATAATTCCATCTTATGATCTCAATTGTGATGAATGAACTGAGAGTGAAGTCTTTAGCTTTAGTACTTTTTATTGCACATATTTTATGATTTAAATGGCGTTAGTAATAAGAAGTACTATAGCTGGAGTATTGATCTGATTGAAATGTTACCTTAAGACATGCACTTTCAGTGAATATGATGTGGTACCTGTAGATTTGTGATTATACTTTCAACGGCTCCTTTTAGCCAGTTAGCATGAATATGTATGGTATTCATTTAGAATTTTATTTAAAGATGAATTATTTATTATTTACAAATTGTATCTAGGTATGTCCTGTTTTGGCATGCCCAAACTTATTTATATTTTGTTGTGTAACATATTAACAATCTTTCTAGTCTGACTTTATCTGTGCAATTACTGGGTTATTGATTTATGCTAAATTTTAACTTAATGAACTTCATATTGTTTATTGTAAAGACATTTAACTGCATACCTCAACTCTAGCCTAGGCTTTTAACATAGAACACCTATTTGCCCCAGATAGTTATTGGCACACCTTAAAAGCACAGATGCGAAATTCAATAGCCCTGTGCTCCAAACACAGCAACTGAGTAAATTATCACAAGAATTCAAATAATCTGCTTATTTTACATCTATCCGTCCTAGTACTGCATGTAGCTCAAATTCCCGTCCATCTCTTTCCCCATTAGGAATTTGTACCTAGACTGCTTATTTAGGTGTGCAATATTTGACACCTGCATAAATCAAATGGCCTGGCACAATGCATTTCAAAATAGATTGGGGTCATCAAGCATGAAAGTTTTCATCCAATCAATATTGCAAAAGCAATCAGTTATTGATAGTACTTTAACATATCATGTACTTGAATGTTGGGCTCAATAAACCACACAATGATGTATGTGAATTATGTTTACATCCCCAGGATCAAGCATAAAACAAGATTGGATTTTGTGAGAATTTTATTAATCTATCATTCAGCAACAACTTCCTTAGTGGGAGCAACTACTACAACTCCACCAGCGGCAGCTGCTGCAAGAAGTTTCTGTTTCTTCGTTTGGGTGAAGACCTGTAAGAACAGACCCATTTCAAATGCAAATCCTGAACAGAGCACTAAATCTTGAGGATGCAAGGAGTACAACTAACCTGAGCGGCAATACGATCCAGATCTCGTCTACCTTGCACGGTCAGTCTTCTGCCACCATCACCCTTTTCGATAAGTTTCAGCTGCTCCAGTGCTTGCAGTGCTTTGCGGGCAACACCACCAGCACCGCGGCAGTAGTGGGAGGGACGAACACCATTGCTCTTGCGGCCTGCAATTGTAAACGCAATCTTAAACCAACTCTGACAAAGGCACATACAGGAGCATCAACTCACAACTATGTGACTTACCGCCGAAGATTTTGGTGACGGCTCCAACACCAACAGGGGAGCGGAAATAGATGTGACGGATCAGGGCAGCACACCTTACGTAGAACCAGTCAGGGTCATAGGGGGCCAATTCCTTGTACCTAGCGCTCTTGATTAGGTCAACCCAGTCAGGGCACTTCATTTTCCCTGTTCTGTAACAAATCAGGAAAGAGTTAAAACTAGAGTTTGAATTAGGACTATTATAAAGAGAATATTTGGAAGATACGAACTTCTTAAGGAAGGCACTGAAGGCCTTGACAAAGTGATGTTGGTCAACATCCTTTAACGTTACTGACACCATCTGGAACAATCAAAATTGCAAATTGATTACCAGTGACAATTGAGTGTGGTGAACATAGCAACAGAAATAAAAGGGGTGTCCGAGTAGTGCCAGATGACGGGAAATTAGAGACTTAAGAATGCGAACTGAAAATGACAATAGTGTCTCCGGGCGGGCCTCTAATGTGTCTTGAACCGGCCAGCAGACAAGTTGGATAAATGCTGCTTAAAATACCGGTAGAACACTGTGTGCTGACAATAATGAATGGCTGGAGAACACATTGTGAAGCAAGCGCAGAGTTGATGAGGGATAGTATCCACGAATTTATGAGGTTAACAAAATGAACTCAAAAGTTAGGTTAAAACCAGTAAACATAAAATAGCCAGTCCGATGAGGGGACTTGGAAAACAGCAGCACAAATTAAACGATACAACACCGTGTTTTGAGGTGCCGCCAACAAAGTTCGGAAAAAAATGGGGGAAAAGTGCGGAATATGTGATATCACGATGCTGTCCGGCGCAAGCAATGTGGCATAGACCATGCCATCGGCACGTCGGGTAAGTGCCGTGTAAACAAGAGCTGAACACAAGAAAACTAAGAAAGAGTAAAAACGTGACTTCGGCCAATATGTTAAGTCCTACATTCCCACGTACTCCTTACTTTCAAAACTGTTAAATTTCACCAAAACAAGTAACAATTCTACAGAAACAGACCTTGCTTGGCCAGTGAAACGCCTGCCTAAAGACCGGGAACCGGAAAGAAGTGAGCTGTGTGGAAGAAGGTGCATTCAGGAGATGGTGGTCAAGTTATACTAGTGAAAGCGACCAACGCCTTCTCTTAACCACGGTGGCCGGTGGCCTCAGAGAATAAAGAAAAAGTCGAACAGTTCAAAATTCCTTACTACACACGTGCCACAATTTGAAAAATCACGTTCTGATCATGTCATGCCTACTAGTATTAATAGTAAAATGAATGAAAGGAAAGGAAACGTGGGCGAGCGTTGCACGACTTGGCGCGAAATTTAAATTATGCCCCTTTTTAACTTTGATCCCCGCCCCTATCGAGTGGAATTTCTGTTCTCCACTCTGAGTCAAACTAGTGCGAATACTTTGGCACATTCTTTATGTCATTTACACTCACCGCTATCAATTAATTGTAATGGTACAAGTCGTTTTACACAAGATATGTTGCTGCCAATAATTACTACTTCACTTATCGGTACTCCAAAGACCTGGGAATAAGAAATGTCCGCCTTCGCCTCTGTCATGAATGTTTTCGTGTTTTCGGTATATTACACTTTAAGTGTCGAAAGGCTAGAATAAATTACGATATGATATAAATTTTATTACAATTTGTTATGCAACTTATTACAATGTCAGAGAAACAATCACTTCGAAAATCCGAATTCCCAACCTGCGCTCGTGAAGCACTTCACAAAGTTGGTAAGTAAGGTTAAGTTGATGGTTTGTTTTTATATTTGAAGCCTCTTGTCTATTTAGCTAGTGTCATGCTTTGGTACCCACCTTTCCCTTGACACCGTCATTGTATTTTCTTGAATATATCCTCGACATGGTATTTCCACAAACAATTAAAATTCTAATAGTACATTTAAATTTAAACTTCATTCCATTTCAGAGCAGTTATGTGTCCCTCAGGCCAGTGGAAGGCCTCCAAGCGCAAAAGAGATGGATCTTGCTATGGAGATCATGGCTGAGTTCATTTTCTGTGAAGTGGACCGACGGGGTAACAGCAAAAAGGTAGTGCTTAAATTCGTTGTTTGGTCTTCAAACTCTTGGTGTAAAACAAATCCTGTCTCTATCTTTAATTGATCTGCTTAATAGTAATTTTTTCCTGGTTTAGTCAATCTAAAATATGCTGTTTGCTCTAAATTGATGCATTTTTTTTTCATTTTTTTTTTCAGCTGACTTGTATTCAGCAACTCCAGTTAGCACAACTGCTTTGTGATTACTTTGCTGGAGTGCAGTTTGGTGGTTCTGGTCCATCTGGGGCTATTGCTGGACCTAATGGAGATACAGCCCGAAACACAATTTTTTTATCACTTTTTCCTCCAACTACCAGCAAAGGAAGAGCCCAGGCTTTGGTTCAATTAGTTTCTATGGCAATTTCCACCAAAAACAAACCTGTTCTTGACTCAACAGGAATTTGGATGCAACAGCTTGGATGTACCTCAAAGTTAGTTCATAAAGTATTTAAAAAATAAGATTATGATTTTTAAATTGCCTGAAATATGTTGTTCTGATGATTGCTTACTTTGTTGGAAAAGGTTGGTTCTCCAATTGGCTGAGGGTTTAGTCAAGGACTACTTTGTCCTGGTACCAAAGGCTGTAACCCGCCTTCAAGACTTACCAGCACTTGCACCACATTTCACTGCAAACTTCCTCACAACAGTTGCCGAAATGTATGCAAGCAGTGGTAAGTTTGATTATAGCACTGTTTCATGCTTGAATGTATTAGAAATCTATTTTTGAACCTTCTAATTTTTTACCTTAGAACAAAAGGATGGTTTCAGTCCACCTCCAGCTGCTCTCCTGGAAGTTGTAACACAGTGGGTTTCAGATAATCCCCGCTTATGTTTGGCAGCATTAATAGTCAATCTACAACCTCTGCTTCCTTTAGGAAGTATACCTATGGCTGCCTTAACGCCATTTGCTGGTCTTTTTAAGTAATCTCTCAAACTTACTATTTCCATCTTTTACTTTTGAATTTCACTCTTGTTTAATTGAATCTTCATTTTTCTCTAGGTGGTGTGTTTTATACCCTCTTCTGACCTTATCAGTCCCTTGTAAAAAGTCGCGTGATGTATCAAATGGATCGTCCAATGGAATTGCAAGTACAAAACTTAGTTTTAAAACTGAAGGAATGGATAATCGAAATGGAGATGATTCAGGGAAAGAATCTCCTTTGTACTCCCAACTACATTTGGCTCTGTTAGAAAGCCTTGTTGAAAATGTTTATCCTACTGTGAATCGTGTAAATAGTGTCAAGGTAATCTAAGTTTACATTCTTATTCATTTGTCTTTTATTTAAATTCACCTAAAATTCCAAAACACAAGCACTTTTCTGTATTAAAAGTATAATTTAAATTGTTCTTGTAGGATGTTGTATCAGTTCAACATATTGCTGGTATTGTGGAACCCATTCAAACTTGGTACAGCAATCAACTGAAAATTTCAGAAAGAGCTCCTCCAGAACTTAACCATGAAGGACATCAAGCATTGGAACTAGCTCTGGACAGATTTGGACAAGCTGTCCAAGTTGCACTGGCAGCAAATTGTGCCTATGGGAATAAACGTAAGTATTAAGTCCTAAGATTCTTTGTCCTTATCCTCATATATCATATTTCATAAGTTTTGTTTTACCTTTTTTTTCTTCAGAATACCTACTTACACAGTTAGAGACGTTAAAACACCTCCCAGGAAGTCGTTTACTTAGAATAGTTTTGAAGACCCATCAGACTCCCTCATTATTTTAGACTAAATTTTTAACAATTGATAATTTAATAAAATTGTTTTCATAATCATAATCAAATTTGGTGTGTTTGACATGCATAACGATGAGTCTAATTACAAGTTAAAATTCAAAGTTTGTGTAAAATTGTTTACATCTAGTCAGGTGTAGTAAAAAAATAGACAAAGTCTACCATTCTTCTTAACACACTCGAGTCATTTGAGGTTTTCCCTTGTATTATGTATGTTGTACACATGTAAATATCAATGTCCATAGACTGTTACTATTTTTCCTTTTTTTATTAAATAAGAAGTATTTTACCTTCTTAATGAAATGAACTCGACGTGCATGTAATTTTTACAATCTTTTGTTTGTCTGAATGACCAGTTTCTGTGAAGTGTGATAGAACCCCTTACCCTTGTGGCCCTAGGACTAAGACAGCAGGCAGCCTGACTGGCCGCCTGAGACGCGCCAGGCGCCGGGCGCTTGGCGCTCGAGTGGCCTTGGGCCCGGGCCGGGCCCGGGCGGAATGCGGATGCATGGCTACTCCATGGCTACTCGGTGGCTACGACCAGCCGTGACTGTGACTGCACTGCTCCATCAGGCTGAGTAGTGTGGTGATGGTCTGACTTTCCTCTTTCCTTTAAGTCATTGGCCCTCCTCGTCGCTGTCGTCTGTGCCAATCCGCGATCGCCCTTTACCGGAACGTCGGTTCCCCCGGAAGGGGCGCGTATCTCGAGGATGGGTCAGGAGGGTCGCCCTTCCAATGGGTAGGCAATTTCCAGTTCTATCCCCCGGTCCAGTAACTAGGCAAATAGTTTGCCGAACACCACCCTAGTACCTTAAAAGAAAACCCTGAACACCTGTGTCACAGGGACTTCCCCCGTCCCGTCCCTCAGTTAGAAATAGAAAGGTCCAGATGAGTGTTAGTGGTGAGGGTGTCTCAGCGGCGCTGCTATATTCTTTAGTTCTCTGTATACAGCATCAAAATACCATACGAAGGTACGGGGATGGGTGACAGGTTTACATACAATCAATACGAAGTATTTCTGAGTCGAATTGTCAAAAGTCGCTTGCTGTAGAAAAGGCAGTGCCGGCGCCTCCCCTTGGAGCACCTTTGCACATGTTAAACATTGGCCATCAGGTTGCTTCTCCTAAGTGTGCATTTGCATTGATGCACATTCCTTCTCTATCATACTGCATGAGAAAGGGGCATTACTGCAAGGCACCTTTTGGAGAATCCGGGAGAATCACCCTGCTTAATTTTCACGACACCCAGTTGGACCGTATAAAGTATTATGTCTACAAAGGTGCGCCCAGGAGGCCGCTCATTTTCTGTAGTAGCGACTTCGGCGCCACCTTCAAATGTACCGTCTACCGACACGACACAACCGCACGGACCACGTTCACACCATTAGAACAGGAAAATATCGAAATGATGTCATTTGACATGGAGGGCGTGCTTTTCAGTCAATTTGTACGACTAAATGAGAACAAATATAGTCAAATGAAATGAAAAGAATCTGTATACCATCTATAGGACCCTTTCCTGTTCCGCGGGTGGCGCGTTGCTTGCGGCCCCGAGCGAGTAGGCAGCCCGCCCACGCGCGTACATGCAGGACAGTATAACTCATTAGTTAGTGCGGGGCCGACGGCACACGGCACACCTTGCACTAGTAAAATGACTGTGGTGAGCATCTGGAATGGCCCAACCGGGACAAACACAGTTTTAACACAAACACGAAAATAAAAAGACTTTGTTGTGGAGATCGACTCGCTGCTTGATAGGCTAAATTTGATAGCTGGAATCGAGAATCCGATACCCTCAACAAGGAGTTTGATTGTCCCGACCAGGCACTTGTTCGAACAGAACCAAGCTAGATTTTGTTAATTCTATTCGTACAAGTGCTCGGCAGTGACAACCAACTCCTGGTTGAGGGTATCGAATTATCAAATTTAGCCTATCCTACAGAGTTACCCCCACGACAAAGTCATGTTTTTCCCGTGAAGTCAGAGTGACGCCGACCCGCCGATTTCCGAGCCAAATCTATTTCTCGCCCTTTGGCAATAACACATCGCGTCGACCCTCTCACGGGCAAGCAAAGCGCGAGACCGGGCGGACCGGACCGGCTGGGGACAAGGTGGGCCGAGTCGAGGGCAAGGTAGACGGGGCAGTTTTTTGGTGGTGGTTGGTTGTTGCTTGTTGTCTCTATTTTTTCCCCGATCTCTCGCGGGTGGATGGAACTGGTCATCCCTGTCCTGACGTCCTGACCTAGGTCAAAGCGTTGCCGTTTATTTCCTTCACGACGAATTCGTCCTTCATGTAGGGCTGGCGTCGATAGGAGCGCGCGTGGTGGCGGGGCCGGGTGCACTGCCCCGAAGTCCCTGACGGGCCGCGCGGCCACACAGTTGAGCGAGGCGAAGGCGGTAGTCCCGCGGCAAATGTCGCCTTCGGTCGTTGGCCCTCACGCACTGCTCGGCTCGCACGCGGAGCGCGGCGCGCGGGGCGGGGCTGGCGGCGACTGCAGGCAGCGCGAGTCGGTCGATGGATGGTGTCGGTGTCTGGCGCCATCTGTCTTGGCTGCCGTCACGCCTTCCCTTCCCTCCCACGGGGACCCCGCTCTAGCGGCGGCCGCGCGGCGGGGGGCAGGGCGGGGGGCGGGGGTTGAGCCTGGAGCAGAGGTGAATCAGTCGAGGAAATGAAAAGGATAAGGAAGGTCGGCCGCGATGGCTGCGCAACGCCACGCCTCGCCACGCCGCGGCGGCTGGACTGCCGCTGGTGCTGGCGGTGTTGGCTCTGTTGTTGGCAGCATGGTTTGCTTCCGGTGGCGGCGAGGCGCGGCGCCGAGTGACTGACTGTTGCAGGGGCCGAGAAGACAAGCAGCCCGCGCCAGCGAGGTGGGGACTGGACTGACCTTACCTCAGGTCTTTGCCCGCGAGCGGCGCGAGCCGGAGCCAGCCCCCAGCGCCTTCGCCGAGCCTCGACAGACCTCGCCACGCCTCATCGCCCCGCCCCGCCACGCCACGTGACGAGACGACGTGAGAGAGGGCGCGCACGCCGTATGCCATCGTGTTGTTGCCTCCAACGGCGCGGAGCCCTGCCGATGTCATGCCATCGATGGAAGTACTGGAAGTGGCATGGGCCGTGCGGGACCCCGCCTGCGAACCAGTTTCGTTATGCGATGCGCGCGGGGCGGGGCAGGGCGGGCGTG